GTGTGTTGCTTCCTCCGTCCACGTGTTGTTTGCTTGTCATTCTGACAGAGTGTTACTCCACAGCAGGCCCTGAAATCTGAGCCAATCCAAACCCACGATTAGACAGAAGAATTCACCTGCTCCAAAAAACACACGTTAGTGAAGTTAATGAAGTCGTTCATTCATTTATTTAAACATCTGTACAGTTTTTATTCTGCCACATTTAAAACTAGATTATTTTGATGTAAATTGTCTGAGTTTTTTTAGCTGAAAGATTTCATCTGATGCTCACGTATTTTGGTAATTCAGTAAAAATATTTTATTTATTTATTTTCCATGGATGGATATCGAACAGTAAAGAGTGTCCAGTGCAGTGCAGTGTCCAACTACGAATAACAGGTCCAGAATAATTAAGGAGAAATATATATATAGAATATATATTTTATTTGATATATTTGACATGAAGGTTTCTAAATGGAAAAAAAACATTGAACTTTTAACTTTGAATCAGTAATAAAGTTTAAAGTTAAAAACTCTTTTTAATTTATAGCCGCAGTACCAAGCGTCACCACAAGGTGTGAGGCTACGTTTCGACGTCAGACGTCTAACCAAACTATTTCAATCCTCTGTGATCGTAACACTTTGACACTTTTTTTCCCTCCTCTGCATTGTCCCCCATGTTGGCATGACGCCCCCTGACCCCCAGTCAGAGCCATCTGCAGCATTACACCCTCATGGCCACTAGGGTTGACAGATAACAGTGAGTCTATGTCAGGGCGTTACTAACATACCTGTTCATTAATGTCATATTGATCAGACCGTGCATCTGTGCCGTGATCGTGCTGTGTTCATGGTGAATGGTTCCATCTCACTGACATGTGACATCATCAAGAGCTGGACCAATGGCAGCAGAGCACAGTCAGACTCTTACAGCTGCAGAAAACCACAGGTGGACACGCATTCATGCTGTATTTATTTGTGTGTGTGTGTGTGTGTGTGTGTCCATCCACAGAGGCGGAGGAGCTCTACCAGAGGCGGGTCTTGACCATCACGGGCATCTGTGTGGCGCTGTTGGTGGTCGGCATCGTGTGTGTGGTGGCCTACTGCAAAACCAAGTATGTACTTGAAGTATGAAGTAGTTAAAGTACTGCAGTACAGACCAGTATATGAAGATGAAGTTGTTACTACGTCACTGACTTCTCATTATAATCTGTCCAGAAAGCAGAGGAAGAAGATGCACAGCCATCTACATCAGAACCAGAACCAGTGTGTGGAGCAGCCTAACCGTATTTTGGCCAACGGGCCCCACCCTCCTGGACCCGGTCCTGAGCAGATCCCCATGGCTGATGTGAGTCCAGGCTGAAAAAATACTGTATGTCAACCAAACCATGAATGAAATAGGATTAAACAGTGACCACTACTGGTCATATTTTTTTTTAAAAAAAGATTAAACACCTTTCTCAGTAGTCGTGGACCCTTTTTAAAAAAAAAAATCATGGACCATAGTGCTGTACCATAAACCTCAGTTTGAGCACCGATGAGGCTGGAAGTTGTCCTTTTGAAGTAACGACATTAAGAAACTGTTACCAGTTAGCCTGCTAATGGAAGAAGCTAACTGTTCTACAAACACTGATTTGTTGGAAATGTGAATTTTACTGTGAATATAGAGTACTTGAATGTGTTTTTTTTGTTTTTGTTTTTTTTTGTGTACTGAACGCAGTACATCTCCAAGAGCGTTCCCACAACAGAGTGTGTGATCAGCCATGGAGCTGAAGGTGCAGGCAACTACGCGGTCAGCCGGATGTCCACCCGCTCCCACCACTCTACTACTGCCTCACATGCATCCAGGTACACCCCCCCCCACACACACACACACACACACACACAGGATTAGGTCAATAGTTCATACCAAAAAAAAAAAAATTTAAAAACCCCATCAAATCACCGTAGGTGTGAAAGTTAGTGTGAATGGTTGAGAACTGGGCTGGGCCTGTAACCTTTGACCCTTGGTCGTTATGGTGTGGATCTTACGCTCCACCGCAGCATGTTCAGACTCTGGTTCTTTGAAATCATTAAACTTGGACTCGATGCTTCGTTCTTCACCAGACACGAGGAGCAGACGTGGAGCATGGAGCGAACAGAGAGCATGAACTCAGACTGCCAGTCAGGTGGACTGTCCAGCTCGGTGGGAACCAGTAAGTGCAGCAGTCCAGCGTGCATGGCGAGGAGAGCGGCCCACTGGGGCTGTGCCGACACTCCTGGGCCGGGGATGCAGTATGGAGATTCTTATGATTCTTTAAGGGACTCACCTCACAGCGACAGGTACGTCTCGTTCATCCTGACTCTCTGGCTCCTTCTTCCCACAATCCTTTGCTCTTTGGCGAGCCCCTGTGGAAGTGTGTGAGCTGCGCTGTCCTGAAACCAGGGTGTGTTGTGGACAGAACGAAGAAACAGAAATTATTTTATTTTTGTCTTTTGTTTCTCAAACAATAGTAATAACAAAGGTTTTATTTTCTTTTATTAGTTTTATTTATTTATGTATATATTTATATATTTACAGGTAGAATAATGTCTTGCTTCACGGCAGCAGTTCCCAAAGTAGGGGGCGGCCCCCTAGAGGACATGGGAGGGGCAGCAGATTAAATGAAAAATCAAAATTCCTTTTTTATTTTATTTTTTATTTTATTTCTGTGTCATATAAATACTTATATATCTAGTTATATAGGTGATTATATAGGTGATTATATAGGGGGTTATATAGGTGATTATATAGGGGGTTATATAGGTGATTATATAGGGGGTTATATAGGTGATTATATAGGGGGTTATATAGGTGATTATATAGGGGGTTATATAGGTGATTATATAGGGGGTTATATAGGTGATTATATAGGGGGTTATATAGGTGATTATATAGGGGGTTATATAGGTGATTATATAGGTGATTATATAGGGGGTTATATAGGTGATTATATAGGTGATTATATAGGGGGTTATATAGGTGATTATATAGGTGATTATATAGGGGGTTATATAGGTGATTATATAGGTGATTATATAGGGGGTTATATAGGGGGTTATATATGTGATTGTATAGGTGATTATATAGGTGATTATATAGGTATACAGCCAGTTTTCATTTTCTTCTCCTCTGCAGGAAATTATTTCTAAGTCTGAACAACAAAGTGACACGGTGAGGTGTAAACTCCTCATCTGTCCACTGGGGGGTTAAACTGAAAAGTGACCTCATTGTCTTCCGAGCTCAGGCTGGTCACCAGTCGGGTGCCCCGACGGTGTAAATATATAAAAGTATTTGCTGATGACGGTGAACTTTGTGACCTTTCTGTCCAGGTACGTGTCAGCGTTGACCACCCCAGCACGTCTGTCTCCAGTAGAATTCCACTACCCCCTGTTGCCCCCCCAGGTGCCCACCTTCCAGATCACCTCGCCCAACACAAGCCACGCCCTTTCCCTGCCTCCTGCTGCAGCTGCCTACCACAGAGATGAAGACCAGCCACTGCTACGATGCCCCGATGTATGTATGTCAGAACCTGCAGTACAGCCTGTGGGGCAGCAGGGGGGGCAGCGGAGGAATCAGAGGATGATTCAACAAAAATCTGTCCTGAAATTTGAGCAAATATAATTTTTCGGAATTTAAATCGTTAACATACGGATGTTTTTTTTTTTTTTGTATTTCTACATGATCTCGTTCCGTAGATTCTACGTTCAAACGCGGGTCAGAAGTGTACTAACTTTTCTGGGGGAGATTGTATTTGTTTTCTGTCAGTTTCCAGCAACAAAACTTTGAAAAGTCTCTCTAGTTCAAACGCACCGTCCCAATTACACAGAACACACTGCACTCCACTGCATAATTGGTTGAACAAAGCTGTGTAGCCCAGAGGAGCCGACCAGTGTGGACCAGTGTGGACCAGACCTGAGACAGATGCTACTTGTTAGTGAGATATTTGTTGTGTACCAGAGCGGCGTTGTAGTTTTTATATCACTTTGCCCAAAACAAATAAACTTTGTTACAAAGAGCATCTGCTGATGTTCTAAAACCCCAGTGTGGTAGACATGTACCGTCATACTCTGTCAACAAGGACGCCACCTGCTGGAGGGGTGAATCTTTAAGCATATGAACCTTAATTATTATTATTATGATTATTATTAAAATAAACATTTAGATTATTCAAATTGTCAGGACAGTGAGTCGTATGAACGTATGGATATTTTTTTCTAAACCTTAGTTCAGTCGTTGTCCACAAGCCGGGCCGCTGACCTGAGGTTGAGCCTCCACAAACCCATGCTGGGAGTTGATGATGGGATTTTCAGTGGAACTAGAACTCTTTTCCGACAGTGTTGGGTCTTGGTTTGGGTTGAAGACGTGCAGCTCTTGTAATCCTCTGTTTCCTGTCGTAGGATGGCAGTTTATACCGGCAGCCGCGGCGTCCACGACGACCCTACCTGACAGAGAGCACAGGAAGTTTACCGTCCAGCCCCTACCGCCTCCCGGACGATGAAGCCTACGAGACCACGCAGGAGTACGCCTCATCGAGGGAACCCATCCGGAGCAGGCGTCGCCCGCGACGCAACCGCCTGAATGGACACGTCTCCCAGCGGTCAGTGGGCCTACGGGACTACGGTTCACATAGCTTCAGCCAGTCAGAGGAGGAGGAAGAGGACGAGGAGGAGGACGACGACGCTCAAGGGGAGAGCACGCCGTTCCTCAGTATGCAGAACATGAACGTGGACCTGCCTTTGACAGTCCCGGGTTTACGTTCCTCAACTGGCACAGACACACGGACTCACCGCGGCCTGAGTCGGCCAGGGACACGCAGCAACGGGCAGAACCGCAGCTCTCAGTCGCAGCGTTTCAAGGCCGACACGCCCTTTTAGGACCGGACCTCCCCGACGACCGCTCATACACCCC